GAGAAAAATCATCACTAGGTCAATCTATAAAGGCTAATATATCCAAATCAGTATTCAATCCTGAGGGAACAGAAGATTTCATTAAGAATAAAAATGAGAAACATAGTGTACCGAGACATTGTAATACATGTAAAGATTTTGATTTTAAAGATTTTATCTGTATTGGGATAGATATGGTTTTACCTCATTGGAGAGGTGGAGATACGGAAAAAAGGCTAGCCATGAGAGAAACTGAGTGGATATATAAAATGAAATCTTCTGTTCCCTCAGGATTGAATACTGATTTGGATATATTAGCCTTTATAGATTGACCTAGTGATGATTTTTCTCGGCCTCTTTTTTATATTATTTTTTATGTTTTTTATGTATTTTATGTATATATGCATATACACTAGCTTTTAAAGACTAATATAATGTGATTTGATTTTTTGACCTCTTCTTACATCTTTTGTATATATATATATATATATACACCTCTTTTTTAATGCCCCCATCTCTTATTATATGTTGCAATAAGCTATATACATTGAGCATCGCTTTGTATTTGAATATTTTTGCTTTATGTATTTGTATCTTTACATCTACAGGCTTGAATTCATCCCTATTGACGTGAATATTATTTTGGATGATGCTGCTCATACCTTGACACGACTACTTATTATTTGTATAGCTGTATTGATATCATCATTTAGATGATTTACCACTGTAAGATCTCTGTATATCATAGTATGAAGGTTATTTTGGAAATATAAATGGACACATCTCCTTTTTTCCCCTTAATGTATACTTTTTTCTATAATTTTTTATATACATATATTTTTTATTGTATATTTTTCATTTTTTTTCTTTATGATTTTTTATTTAATTTTAATTTTTGTATTATACATATTTTCTCCTTATTGGCCTTCCTTTTGCCACCTGTCCTATTTATATTTTCCCCTTTGCCTGTTTAGTGTTCCTCTATTTAGGGGTTAGCAGGGGGGTAGGCAGGTACTGTAAATCCGGTCTGCATTAATATAGAGCGCTCTTTCCATAGATCGCTCTTTATGTGACTGTGTATACGAACAATAAAGTTTTTTTGCGTTCCGCCGTGGTTGCGCATGCGCACGCCGGCCGCGTATGCGTCATGACGTATGGCGTTATGCGCGGTGACGTGTGTGCGCATGCGCAGTCACGGCCGGCGGACGGACCGGCAGATTTAAAAGGAAGAAGATGGAGGAAGATGACAGAAGCTCCTGAGGAAGTCTAGCGACGAAACGCGTTGAGCATCAAGTATCTTTTGGGACCCTGGACTGTGGTATCAGCGGCTGTACTGTTTATTCGTGCTAATTTGTGTTGACTGTCTATTTTCCATCTTGGACCGTTTGGGCTGTGCTTATGCTTATGTGTCACTAATTAGATGCTGTTTTAGCACTGCCATCTTGGATTTAAGTGTTTTGCACTTTTTCATTATATTGTGCACTTTAGCATTTGCACTTTATTGCCCTATCCAGCACTTTATATTAGTGAGCTGCTGTACCTATGGGTTCCTGAATATTTAATATTTTATGTTTGAGCACTTTTATGTGCTGTCATTTTATATATTCTGTATCAATAAATTACAATTTTTTATCCAGTGATTGGGATTTATTTAAGTATATGGTTCTTTCCTATACATACACCTATTTAGTGACTGTGGCGCCCTGTTAGTTTGTATATATCTGTTGTTTATTATTGGATTTGGAGTATCCAATTTACAGAGGCTTGCCTGCACTTGGGTTACAATCAGTTTCTATTGTATATTCACCCACCTTCTTACTTTTTTGTCAGTATAGGTAACTGTGTCAATGTGTGTGTCTCTGTGTATGTGCATGTGTATCTGCATCTGTGTCAGGGTGTGCATCTGTGTGTCAGATACATACCGACACACAGATGCACACCCTGACACACATGCATACACACAGATACATATACTGACAAGCATGCAGATACAGACACATTTATAAATACACTGACACACTTAAGGATACATACCGTGACACACATACAGATACACACCTTGACACAAATTCAGATACAAAGGCACATATATACATACACTGACACACATGACACACAGATACATACTATATCTGTATCTGCATGTGTGCCAGTGTCTGTATGGGTATCTGTGTCAGAGTATGTATCTGTGTTTCACTGTATCTGCATATGTCAGGGTATGTATCTTTGTGTTAGGGTATGTATCTGTGTGTATATGTGTGTCTGTGTTTTATTCTGTTTGTATGTGTCAATGTTTGTATCTGTGTATGTTTTTGTGTGTCTGTATGTCAGTGTTTTTATCTGTATGTTTGTGTATCATTGTGTCTGTACATCTGTACCTGTGTGTATCTGCAAGTGTTTCAGTGTTTGCATCTGTGTATCTGCAGGTGTGTGTGTATCTGTATCTATATGTGTGTCAGTGTTTGTTTGTGTGTGACAGTGTGTGTCTGGGGCAGAGGAGTAGCAGGGGGAGCCTAGGGCAGACTAGAACAGTCAGAGGATAAGCAGGGAGAGCCTGAGGCGGGGGAGATGAAGGGAGAGCCTAGGGCAGAGAAAAAGGGGATAAGGGACAGAGAAATTTTTTTATAAGTTTGAAATAAATGCAACTATATTAATTGCAAACATTTTGTTAATGGGAGGGGTACAATTTATGGAAATGGGCTGCCAAGGGGTATTTAAGTGAAAAAAGGTTGGGAACCACTGCTATAAATGAACCTTTTGAGCTTCGGGCATGTGAATATTTCACTGTGCAATTTTAAACGTTTGTACAGGAGCAATCAATCCAGGTCACAGCTACCACACATGGCCCAGTCACAGCACACACGTTGGAAAGAAACCCAGATGTTAAAAATAAAAAGGGAACTTCTAAATGTTTACTAAGCTACATGATTTAATCTCTATACACTTCAATCAGTTAAATTTGTTTTCAGTGCCTACACTATGCTTTTTCCTTTGTTAGTTTTTATGATAACTGCTCTGTGTGACATTATTCTTGATATCAAAAACACATTAAAAAAAAAAAATACAAAAAGAAAGAGTGAAATGTACTAATGAGATTAAGGCGTTGTATGGGATTACACCCAAATCACCATGTCCCCTCTCTGTAACTGTGCGAAACCACAGTAGCATGATTAGGGGATGTTTCCATGACTATGATACAAATCACAGGACCATATGCTATGGAAGGCAATCGTGTTCAATATGTATTCTAAAAAGAGCAGAAAAAGGTTAAGAATTTCATGTAAACTATAGATTGACCTGGGAGTCCCTTCTTTGTACTAAAATGTTTAAGGACGCAAAACACAGTGATCTTATCTTGTGGTTTAAAAACCCTGACATTTAGACTCAGCACCCTTCAAACTCCTCATTAGCGCTCACCAACTGGCTACGGTGTTATGCAGATTTACAGGGCAAGTGAGTTGATGGAAAAAACTAGTCAATAGCATTAGGCATACTGTTACAATGTGAACACAGGTTTTAAGTAAATAGCTTCATAGGATTTTGTACAATCACTGATACATATTTCTACGAAGTTTATACAACAAATATCAATATATATTCTGTTCCATAATTGGATTTTCTTACCCAGGCATATAACGCTCCATCCATTAATTGTTCAACGGGTTGCCTCTTACTGCTCTCCATGGCCCACCAAGACAGCCAATGCTAGCGATGGCCACACCTGTATTGCTTCTCTTGCTGTATCTCTCTGTAGGTCTCCTTCTCAAAAACTCTTTTACTCTTTTACTCCGTCATGTAAGTCTCCCACTCGCCCCTACTTCTCACTAATTGCTCTATGCGTCTTGTCTACACTTCACTCCCTTTCTTGTGGTTTTCTTCACATACATCAGTTCCTCTCTATATCGTAACCACCCCCTCCAGTAGTCACATTGCAAAAATAAACTTCCTGCTTTAAATGTATAGTTTGCAACCATCTTTCATATCCAAGGCACGCATCGGAGATGACAATACATCAGAGGGTGAGCTTAGCAGGTAGGTTGTAACGTAGGTTGTACTACACTCTGCATTACATTTTAAGATTTAGACTAGTTTCAGGTGTGACTAACTTCCGGCTCTCGATGATTTGTCCACAGATTATCAGCAATTTCCATTGGTGTGCTCACTCACGGAGGGTTGTGTCTTCTTAACCCCACTCACAATAGTACTCCTTCCCCTGCCAACATGCACAGAGACTGCAAATATTTTCTTACCGACGGTAAGATCCCAACTAATAGATGGTCATCGCTGCATTTTATTTTTCACCCGCTGAATGACAGCTGCATTAGAATTGTCCCATTTCAAGTGTCTAAATCAGGGATGCCCAAAAGGTAGATCCTGTGATGTTTTAAAACTACAAATTCCTATGATGTTTTGCCATACTAAATACATTCTAAAAGCATGCAAATGATCATGGGAGTTGTAGTTCTACATCATCTGCAGACCAGATGGGCACTCTTTAGGGCACCCCTGGTCTAAATAATATCCTCAGACCTGTATCTGAATGCTGACAATCACTCAGTAGACTATAGACAAACTGAACAAGACTCATATGTTAAAGCATGTATACCATACTGTAAGGTCTCAGACTGCTCCAATTATACCAGTGCAATGATTGTTACAATATGAAATATCTCAGTTTGTAGAGCTGTCTATTTTACAGTGACTTGTTTGTGTGCAATACAAATATTTGGTGATCAGCTATTCAATCTACAAATATATTACTAGATTATTAGAACATGTGATAGTAGCTTCTGTTCACTACAGTAAATAAAGCAGGAAGCCAGAATCTTTCCACGCATTTATTAACATTTGTAGCTGTAAGCAGACTGCAATATATTAGCTGTTTTTGTATACAGGTGGCAGCTTTCTACATCACACAAAGACTACTTGATATGTTATCAGATCTTATTGATATTCAGCAGATATTACTCGGTGGACACTCTACTGATGTAGTGCAAATCTTGGCTTGATTTGTTCCAGGCTCAGAGCTGAGAGATAATATTTCCTGCTAGGCTGCATGTTAGACCTGTCCCATCGTCTTCTACGTTAATGGCTTTCACCTTCCCACCTTCAATCACCAGAGAAAATCTAAAGAGGAAGAACCGTTAAATACTTTGCATTGACAATATTATTAAAGGAACAAGAACATTAAAAAATAAGATCCTAAGGTTCCCACGCTGGCACTGCACACTAAAATAAAATTAAAAAAAAATGTGAAGTGGGAAGCATATATTCTGTGTTTATGGCAGTGTGCAGCTGTGTGTACAGGAGTACAGATTTGTGTTCATGCATATTGAAGAACAGGTTTGTGGCCCCCATGGTAGAGGACAACGTGGCCAGTGAGACACCTGCTCTTGTGGTAGACTGACAGCAATGTTTACAATTTTAAGACTGCAGAGACATGGCTTATGCATCAAAACCTACATCAAGATGTTAGTAGTTTTGATGCTTAATGTGTCAATTTAGAGAAAACTCTAGTTAGAGTGGAGTCTGACTGTAACTGCAGGTGCACTAAGCACATCTACAGAAAACTTAGAAGAAAATATATATATTTTTTTTTTTTTAAATTTAATCTTTAATTTTTTTATTTTAACAACATATTTTTGTGCACGGTCTATACAATGCATAATAAACCAAAACAAAACGACATTTTGTTTACATTAAGATGTAGTAGTTGTGGTGCTTAACCCCTTAAAGACCAAACTTGTGGAATAAACGGGAATCATGACATGTCATGTGTCCTTAAGGGGTTAAAGTGTCCATTTAAAGAGACAGCTCTCATTAGAGAGGAGTATGACTAACTGCAAGTAGACACACTAAGCACATCTACAGGGAACTGCAAAGAAAAACGTGTGGTTATCGGAGGTGTGTTATATAGTGTAAGTATTTTATAGTCTGCAGAACATGACATGCTGCTTTTCATCTGGCCAGCAGGGGGAGTGTTGATTCACTCACCTCTTGCATCTCTGGTTTCCAAACAGAGCCAACAATTCATTCTTATCTAGGGCAAGTCCTGTAGCCTGAGGGAAGCAAGGAGAGACAAATTATAAAAGGAAATATTGATACAGTTCGCCAGACAGCAAATTAATAACCAAATGTGAGATACAGAACACTATGTGAACTTCAATCACACAAACTTTGCAAGATGCATATTTTGAATTTATAGGAATTTAGTAAACACCAGCCTTAAGTTATCCCTGTTTTTTTGTGTGTAATACTTTCCCCATCACTCTCAGCTTCCCCCTTTACTAGGAGCTGAGTTCTTGTAGAACTTATGCAATTGTCTTTCAGTTTTTAAAAACGTGCATATGTATAAAATATACTCGTTTCAAGGGCTGATTCCTTTAAATATATATATATATATAGCCAATAGAGAACAAGTCTACCCATGCTTTCTTCCATGTGTTTTCTCTGTTAGTGAGAGATATATGTGAGCTACACAGTATTGGCATTTAAAAGAATGCAAGCCAAAACCATTAAAGGAAATCACTAGATGGAAACATAGAATGTGACGGCAGATAAGAACCAATCGGCCCATCTACTCTGCCCAATTTTCTAAATACTTTCATTAGTCCCTAGCCTTATCTTATAGTTGGATAGCCTTATGCCTATCCCACGCATGCTTAAACTCCTTTACTGTGTTAACCTCTACCACTTCAACTGGAAGACTATTCCATGCATCCACTACCCTCTCAGTAAAGTAATACTTCCTGATATTTTTAAACGTTTGACCCTATAAATTAAGATTATGTCCTCTTGTTGTGGTAGTTTTTCTTCTTTAAATATGCAAATCAGATTCTTATCTGCACACCATTACACAGAATCCACAGCTGCAGTGTACAGACTACATGCCGTGGAACCTTATGACACAACACACTCTTATTCTATCAAAGTTGTTTTTTTCAGGCTTTATATTTTATTATTTAGTACAACAAAAATATATACACACACACAGAAAAAGCCACCCAACCGGCTATACAGCCTTCTCCCTGCAGCACTAACCCCATCGGGTAGGTTACTGGAAAACAAATCTTGGCAAAACACTTTTGTGAAAAAATGATTTCTGGGTCTGATATGCAAGATTATGCAAACACAACAGACAAGCTATTTTGCCAGTAGCATCATGCATGATTACGAAGGCACCGTTGCTAAGAATCGGAAGGAACTTGGCACACGCAGCACTGACCTTGCCAAATGCTCCAGTGGGATCAGCCAGCATACGAACCTACAGAAAGAGAGAATCTGTTAGTGAGCTAAACTGCATGGGTTCATTGCATCAGCTGGTGTGTCATTTTTCATTTTGCAAAGCATTGTCTATCTAATGAATAAAATAAAATATATAAAAAGTCTGTCAATGCAAAGCTGGTGTGTCTCTTTGAACCTTTCACTGCCAGACATATGTGACTGACTATCGACCACCTTCCATAGGTTTTGTCAATCGTACTATCCAAGTTTCTTTAATGAACAACAAACTGCAGTAAAATAAAGACAAATTGCAACATTTAGTCTAAAGTAGAGGATTAGGAAAAATTATCCAACTACACCATGGTGACAGTTTGGCTATTTTAGCTCACATTTTGCAATTGGAATTTTTTGGGCGATAATGACTCAGTTTTGGTTTTATTTATATTTTTAGTGGGGGAGGGATGGAACCCAAATCTTACTCTGGATAAAGATCATTGCATTATTATGACAAGGAATCGCCAACTCCAGCTGCTTGATAACATGCTCTCACACAGCTCTGTCTGATCACAGCAATAGAACGGAATGACCTAAAAGGCGATCAAACCAAGGTCTGAAACGTGTATAACCATGTAAGACTAAGATCCCTACTTTACGGCAACCAAAAATACTAAAAACACTAAATAAATTATTTTCACCTTGGAATAATGACTTTACATTGTCAGAAGAAAGTGGGCACGCGCACACACGCACACCTACTAGTAAAGAGCACTTTTTTTTTTTTTAAACAAACATAACTGATGAAAAAGATTGCAAAATACTCAACATCCTGGCAATGAAAGCGTTAACACTATCTAAATCTATCTTTTACAATCTCCCATCTCTCACTGCATCATTCATCTATTTCTCTAGGTGTTACGCTGCTCAAAGCTCTGTCACTGGGCAATATTAACTTCTCTAGAAACAATGCAAAGAGGTTTCCCCGAAGATCACATATCAGACACTCCCAGATCATCTTTACCACTGAAAGGCCTATCCAAGGCAGTTGCACTTTATAGTTAGACTATTTAAAACCATGCAAGGTGGTAATAAGAGGACCAGTGTTAGAATTCAATAACATTTTAAGCTCACGGGCTGCGTCCCCTGCTCTATTACTTTTGCATCGATGTGTCCAATTCTACATTCCCTTCCCTCTCGTTTTTGGTTCATTTGTAAGCAATCTGGCTCTATAAGAATTGGAAAGCACACCGGGATATGTATAAATATTATTTTTTGTTTACCACCTAGATTACTGTATAAATCAATAAAATGATACGACGTACGTTTTTGTGTCTTTGAGTGTTGACTATTATAGTTTTGTGCAATTATATATTATTTTATGTTATTTCAAAGCATTTTAAAAAAAATATTCTGATCTGAAACACATTCTAATTTGCCATATTTTACTTGTTGAGACAATTGTTTTACTGCATTTTTACCTATCCTTTTAGGCAACGGTTGCTTTTACACAACATGTTACACAAAACTAGAAGTGCCCAAACGAGGAGTTACAAAACAGGCATCTCTTTGTTCTATGACATTTATCCCGTAATCTGCAAGAATCATTACTGTTACAACACACTGTAATTTTAATTGAAAAATTTTGATGCTGGTAATCTTACAACTTCACAAATTGAGAAACAGCGCTGGGAGCACCACCCACATCAAGTGAAAAATTATTGTGTGAAGCAGTTTATAATTCGATTGTTACCACGTACAATACAGTATAGTGTATCCTGGAGACAGGAAGTACTCTTGTTTGGAGATAAAAAAATAAAAAAAAGCTAATTGTAAAAAGCATATGTAGTGTAGTTATTTATTGACACAAGACATAAATCAAAGTGTTAAAATACACTTACAAATAAAGTGTGCAAATAAAGTGTGCAAATAAAGTGTGTGGCATAATTCCAGTCTCAGTCGCACAGCAGATTATGAACAGGAAAAATTCCTCATGTCATCATTACAGCGGTAATATATGTGTACTGATGCTAGCCTGTGATCGCATCAATTTTTCCCTTTTCTCAATATTATTTTAATAAGTACACTAAAGGAGTGTGGTGCTGTATACACACTTAATGTCTTAAAGTTTTTTGTATCTGTACGGAATTTGACGGACTTTCTAGTTTGGACTTAATGTAGGGGAAGGTGGTTCCATGAAACTCTCACATGATCACAGGCAAACATCAATATGCTTACGACGTATGGTGGTGCCGTAATGATGAGCTCCATGTACCCCTCCCTTTTCTCAAGCTGCTTACTGGAAGGTGCTTTCTAAGGCGGACTCACAAAGAGGAAAATACAGGTTTGCACTGACAGCGGACGAAATGAGTCAAGTGATGATACCTTTGGACTTCAGAGAATTGACACAGTTTACAGAATTACGCTCCAGGAGTCACGACTTGAGGCACTTTTCCTGTTCACAATCTGCTGTGCTGATTGTGGGCAAGTATATTTGAACATTTTGTTAACCGTTTACCTTGCTGTCTGTGAGCGTATTCTAAGCCTTAGATTTAAGTTTTGTGTCAAATAATTACTCTGTATTTTTTTTTTATATTTTGCTTTTTATATCTCCCAAATATGTTGGAGGATTTTCTGTCTTCAGTATACACTATACTGTGTTGTATATGGTAAATTACATGGCTGCTTTATAATCTTCTTCACACTATAATTACATTTTTTACTTGATTTGAGTGGTGCTCCCAGCATTAATTCGTTATTTGGTTTATGTTGTTTTTTTATATTTTTGGAGAAGTACTTAAGATTAGCTGCATGGTTTACCCTCTTTTCCCACCTACAATTGTTATGTATGGTATAAAATAAAGCTTTAGTATTGCAGAAATATTCGTTTTTCTATACTTCTGAAATTGGAAATATATTCAGTAGAACATCAAATTATTAGGGCTTTACCAACTCCATTTTTTTTACAATCTTTATTTAATAGATTTCTTGGTTTTGATACAAAGGGTAGCAGAGTAAAAGATTAAACAAAGCACATCTAAATATGCATGGATTGGGTACAGCATATAAACAGATTTTCTCATTGTTTCACATTCAAATCGTAAAATAGGTTAGAATTATAAGACCATATCACCACCCAGATGTCAAATATTTTGTAAGAGAGGAAAGGATGGGACAAGAAAGATGGTAGAGTTTCCCTTGGCTTCACCCACACCAGGCAGAGTGTGATACTGAAAGAAAAACTCAACATTTAAAGGAACACTATAGGATCAGTAACACAAAAATGTTCTCCTTTACCTATAGTGTTAAAACCTACTATTTAGGTGGCTTGCCCCACCCTTGTCCCCTTAGAAATGGTTGAAACTTTCCTTGTTTCCAGCTCTCCATCGGTCTGGCGGCACTAGCCCTGTCCCCAACCCGCCACTTTGGCTGACATAATAAGAACTGATTGATGGATTGGCTGAGATTGTCAGGGAGGCGGGGCAGGGTCAAACCCTGGCCAATCAGCATCTCCTCATAGAGATGCATTCAATCAATCATCTCCATGCAACATTACCCCAAGAAGCACGTTCAGTGGCCATCTGAGGTGTCCCTAGGCTGTAATGTAAACACTGCCTTTTCTCTGAAAAGACAGTGTTTACTGCATAAAGCCTACAGGGACTGACTATACTCACCAGAACAACTACATTAAGCTCTAGTTGTTCTGGTAACTATAGTGTCCCTTTAAGAGACCAGAACCGAGGTCTTAGTGGACAGGTATGAATTCTGTGGTTTGTAGGTTATAAAACTATAATCAGAGATGCAATCAGGGCTTTGGAGGCTTGATTCACTTAAAGTCTTCATGACTGATTCTTTGGAGTTTCTGTGCATTAATAACAGACAAGTTTTGGCATTTTTACATAGGATACATTTCTGGTATCCTATTTGAGGGAAATACTTTTTTCATATTTACCACCATCTCATTGAAGTGGTCTGGGAGCAGTGTTGTTGCCCCCTAAACCCTCCAAGCCAATAGAGGCACTTTCTGCAGTTTCCCACAGTTTAACTCTGGACGTCCTCATGCGGTACATTAGGTCCTCCAGTGTCTTGCAAAACCCCAATGTTTTCACATGGGGAACACATGAGTCAATGTTTTCACATGGGGAACACTTGATGCGCACAGGGTACTCTCCGCGCATGCACACTAGGTTCCCAGATAACGCTGAGGTTCCTCAGCACTGGTAACAGTTAAGTGTTTAAACAATTTTGTTTTGTTTTTTAACCTTTTCATGGCCGAGGCAAGGTGACACTGTAGTGTTAGGAATACAGTTTTGTATTATTAACACCATAGGGTCTTTTAAAGTGGCAGTCGAGGCATCATAGCAACTATCACAGTATATCTCAGTTTTCAAATGGTTTGACACTTACCTGGGTCCTCAGATGATCCTCTAGTACAGAGGTATCCAAGTTTTTTCTGCAGTGAGCCAGTTCATCAAAAATGAATGGGCGTGGCCCGCACTAATATTTCACGGCGATAAAAATCATGCAAGGACACATATACACACACAGTTACAGACATGCAAACACACAGACATACAAAGACAGATACAGAGGTGCATACACTGACATGCATGCAGATACATAGATACACATATACACTCACTGACAAACATACAGATACACAGTAACACACATACAGATAAACAGACACACACTATAATAATATAGATACAAACAGAGAAACAGGTACACACTGACACATGCAAATACACAGACACACAGAATGACACATACACAGAATGACAAATTCAGATACATAGAATGACACTCATACAGATACACATCCAAAATGTACTCTTATTTTAGCCACCTTCCTGTTTCCTACCTTGTGGATGCAGAAGGGTGGCTTCCCATAAAACCACTGGCTGTTGAGAGTCAGAGCTCCCAGCTCTTCCAGTCTGCCTTCTATCCCACCTAGTGGTCAAGTGGGCAGCATGTTTAATTCCTAGGCTCTAGTTCAACCATCATTTCCAATATATCTAAAGAGAATGTTCCCTTTAAACAGCAGATATCTCAAGTTTGGCCATATTTGAACAAAGTTCATTGGCTGAGGGTGTCAATTAATCTCAGCCCATGAATTCAATCCAAATACAGCCAGAACTGACAATAATGCAGATGGGGAACTTCTGTATTGGTATTACCACAAAAGGATACCAGATTGATGAAATCTGGTAGGACCCAGGTACGTGTCAAGGAAAACTGGTGGACCATTTTCTTTTGGAGAGCCACAGGGTACTCCTCACACCCTAATCACTACAGTGGGCGGTAGTGGTAATGGTAACTGGACTGGTCCTTTAATATCAAATCACATGCAGAAGAAGACAATGTAGCCTACTTCATATGGGGTCTTTTCAATCCCCAATTATAACCAAATATTGCTGGACTCCCTCATACTCAAAATATCTAGAAATAGCCAGATGATGCAGGATCAGTGTTTATTCAGACTACCAGAAGCCCCTGATGTTGCCCCCAGAGTAATAAGCAGCCAATTACCTTTTTATGGTGTATGGGTGAACCTGTGAGTTTCCACTGTTGGGATATGTGACTTTTGAGGCACTAAGCAAATGTTCGATATTGCCATGATTATCAAATCCCACAACTTTTCAATACAACCAATCACTAAGTAGATGATTCGCTGACAGCGTTCTGAACAGAGTGTAGTGGAGCTCTTCACTGCATAATAAGAGCTTTTCTTACCCTAGAGAATTTCCTAAGTTCTTACACTGCTGGGTGTCATGTAAGTACCCACTAGTCAAATTGTGTTTGCTCACCTTGCCCTCTGCTCCATGTGCTTTCCCCCACTCAGTCATCACGAACACATCATTGACGGAGATGCATGCCACCACGTCTACTCCATGCGATTTAAGTTCTGCATTCTTTTCCACATAGCCAGGAAGATGTGTCTGCAAATGAAAGTAATCCCTGTTACCACGTAATTCTATCCACAGATTAAGAATTCGTACATGTATGAAAGTACTTGTATACCAAAATATAGATATATTTTAAGGGCAGACTTTGAAACTAACAGGAAAAGGCAGCATGTAGCAGTGTAACTAAAACCATAACAACCTGCAACAAACCCAAGCAAAGAAGACGGTCTCCTAGCCCTCTGCAGACAACTTAACATGTCAGAGGACGTCTGTGCACATCAGGAGTCATAGTCCTACAGAACCTGCTGATCACTATCCAATCCACACCTTAAGGATTAGACACAGGGATCAGTAGCAAGATATACATACCATGACTGATTCCGCTGCTTATTAACAAGGCATCTAGCAAAGAAAATGTATTTCCATATTTAGACCTACTGTGTCTGAGGCAGACTATTACAGGTATGACATATAAAGGTGGTCAGCAATAACAACGTATTAACATTTACTTAAATCGGTTGGGAGTATTGATTGCTTTTTGACAGACACTCAGAATCAAAATTTTCTGGGTTGCAGGAAGACAAGTTCTAAGATGTGTTACACATGTCTCTGAAAATCACTTTTTGATTAAATTGAGAAATTTCGATACAATAAAAATAAATGTAGGACACTGTTTGATATACCAAAAGTTCAAATAACTTCAAATAGAGGCAGGAGATTAGTCACTATTGATTTTTACTGATCTTATTGTAAAAAGAATTTGCCATGAAAGAGTTCTCAGTCTCAGATTGTATGCTTGTTTGAGCAGGGCTTTCTTTACCTCTTGTCTCTGATATGTCAAACTACTTGTTATCCCTTTTCTACAATTGTAAAGCGCTAAAGAATATGTTGGCATAACAATAAATAAATGTGGGAAACACAAAACACGTATATAAAATAAATTAAATTATAAAAACCTGGAAAACTAATGCAGAATAATCTACTATAATATAATGGTATCTGGCATTTTGTTTTAACATTTTTGTAATTTTTATTACAATATCACATTTTATGTATTATTTCGTATTATTTATATATGAACTCACACAGTGTCTGTGTGTGTATATAATAATATATATATATATAAAAAAAAATTTTTTTGCATTACATAAATAATAACAATCATATCTACAAGGAATCAAGTTGCACTTGGGGCCTCTTTGACCATGGACAAATACAGGGCCACTTGGACCTGGATTCAATACGTTCCATAACTGAATAAGACAGAGCCCTCAGGCTAAATGAGCCCAATATGACCAACCTCATCCCATCCCCCCTCTCTTTTTTCTCTCCCTTTTGTGCGCTCTCTAATCCCTTCTTCCCAAGCCCAGATCTCCTCTTACTATATTCCTTTCTCTTGGGGACATCAGAGACCCAGTAAATTGCGCACATGAGATACTATATCCCTTTGAGAATGATAGTGAAGCATGCATACTGCTGCTGCCCCTTGTAGGTGCATTCTCCACCGACTGCTAAATTCTTCTGCTGTACCTATATACCGTTGCGTCAAACTCTTACAAATAAAGATTTTGCAAAAAAAAAAAAAAAAATTACACTTGGGGAAAATTTCAGGAAGAATTGTGTTGTAAATATGTTTTCAGCTTGGGGGGGAGGGGGATAAGGGGGTAGTTTTATCTGGCTGGTTCCCCTGGAAAACAAAAATATGAGAAATCCTCGAAAACTATCCCATTAAATCTATATTTGACTACAGCATTCCAGTTTGTTTGTTTTTGTGTGAAGTTGGCACCAAACGGAGAAGAGGTATTTCCTGAAAACAATGCACAATAATCCCAAATATCTTCTTTTAGAACAGATTAATTCACATTCAGGGCTGACATTCTCTTGTAAATGCATCTGCTGTATGAACATTAAAAACATGTGCATTAACTAACATTTAAAGAAAAAAAGTTTATAAATAACTCTGCTTTTGAATTTTTTCCTCTGCGTTTGGCAGTTTGCCAGCGATTTTAGTCTAAAACATCAGTCAGCTTTGGTTTAGTTTAACCCCTTAAGGACTAAACTTCTGGAATAAAAGGGAATCATGACATGTTACACATGTCATGTGTCCTTAAGGGGTTAAGTAAATGATTGTTTATAAGAAGCATGTATTTCATACTGTCAGTACCTGTCCACACATCTAAAATATACGGGCATTTCAGTTTTCAATGCTGCCTGTGCTAATCGCAAACTAAACTGCAGGTTAGTATTAGAAAGTATATTGCCTGGGCAGGGGAAGCTCTATGAAACTGCACTTCTATAGCCTGATGCAATCACTACACTCGGCTATGAAAGCCCCTTTTAGGAGAGATCAATATTATTTCAAAATTTTTAATGCTATTACGAATAATAACTACCATTCCATTTTGCAATCAGTGCCATAGTACATAGTACTGCCCCCCAGCCCAAACAAACAGACAGACATGGAGCGATTGACCCTCCCCACACAGAGACAGTAATGACACCTCCCAAAAAAAAGGCAAACATTAACTCCCACTGCACCAAACACAGAAATAATTAGGGAGCCTACGCTGCCCCCCAATAGACACACAGACTAGGAGCCACTCCCCCCCACAATCAATGTACAGACTATTCATTGTTACTGGATAACTCTGCTGTGCCCTCTGCTGACTGTCTAGAACAGGGGTTCTCAACGTTAGTCCTCAGGACCCCCTACCAGTCCAGGGTTTAGGGATTACCTGGGTGTGTCTAAGGTGTTTAGAGAAAAAAACCCACACACCTTAGACTCTAAGGTTCTCTTTTTCTAAACACCTTAGACACACCCAGGTAATCCCCAAATCCTGGACTGGTAGGGGGTCCCGAGGACTGGGTTGAGAACCCCTGGTCTAGAACAAGCATGTCAAACTCAAAGTGTGGCACGGCCCACATAAACAAGGTTTAAGTTTATGAGGGCCGCACACACACACACTCACTGACAAACAGACACACACAGACAGACACGCACACACGTACTCACAGACAGATCCACACACACACACACACACACACACACACACACTTGCTGACAGACACACACATACTAACTGGCAGGCACACACACACACTTTTCTTTATTGCTCCCTACCTTATGGAGTCGATGGGGGGCATCTCCCTGAGGTCCTTCCTGCTCCTCACTGCCCCCGCGCGCGGTTTAGTGATGTCGGGTGCCGGAATGTGACGTCATATTCCGGCGTCTGGCTTCACTTCAGTCGGCACGCGCGAGGGAGCCGGAAGGCTGAGCTCCCTCGGTGGCCTGGTAAATGTTAGCAGAGTAGGCACCTGCAATATGGGGAAAGCAGGTGCCTACTCTGCTATAACACTGAGCATGCACTGAGCTGGGTCGCGAGTTTGACATGCTTGGTCTAGAAATGTGTTCATTCACATAAGACGTATGCAAATGAGGGCAACAAAATATGTAGTTAAACGTATATATTATTGCCTTTCATTGTGTTTGAAAATGTTATTGGTATTATATAGTGCATATATTAATTTTAGTTGCTTGTTTACTAATATTCTGTGTATTTGTATCTTATTGAAGTGTCACAGCGATCTAAATGTAATGATCATATAGGCTAGTCCCACGTAAAAGTAAAGCTTTGCATGTTAGTTCCTATGTGAATTTTTAGGGATCCCGGTAACAGGGTCTTAGGACCTGTTGGCTGGCTGCACGATCCAGCTAGTCCTGGGATAAATCAAGAGAACCAAGCCTGAGAGTCACAGGTGCCTTTGTGAAGGCAATAGAAATTACATTTGTAGCCTGATCGGGTAGAAAAGCTCCAGAGAAACCCAGTCAAGTCTTGTTGCCTCACAGACTGGGGTTTAAGCATTCTAGGCTAACTTCCCAACAGCTAGGAAGCAGATTGGGCGGAGGTACTCGGTTGGAGTACAGGAACACACACACACACATCACAGCTACGCTTTAAAAAAAAAAAAAAAAAAATGGATTAGAACACATTAATGAGCCCAAATCCTATTAATTGCATTAGTCTTGTTTTAATGCCTATTGTGTTCCCTTAGTATTTTATTTATTAAGGTTATTAATGTGAAGTAGATGGTATAACCTTGTCTATACAAAAAAAGGGACACAGCATCTGCAAATATTACACTTTATAACAGCATTGAATCATACAATGATTTCCTCCTTTCACCTTTGAACAGCCCGGAGTAAAGGCCCCTGGGACCCCGAACAGCACACCTTTCTTCCCACTAAAGACATCACTCAGACTGATCTTGTTACCAGGGTTCCCTTCAAACACCTGCACGTCCGGAAGTGAGTCTCCAACCTGCAGAGAGAGAGAGAGAGAAACAGTGATGATAACTGGAAAACAGCAGCTGTCAGTGTCCTCTGCCCATCAGACAGACATCAGTTGGTTTGATTTAAGTTTTATTTAATTTCACCAAAAGCACAAATCCATAGGTAGAGAAACAGGCACCTTTTCGGGCTCACCACGAGACCGCTGGATCTTGTATGTTAAAAGAAGATACTCTTCACAAATTTCCTCTTTGTGCCTCATTTGCATAAATAGACAGACAGACAGACAGACAGACAGACAGACAGACAGACAGACAGACAGACAGACAGACAGACAGACAGACAGACAGACAGACAGACACAGACAGACAGTAAGACTTACACACCAAAAAACTATGTACAGGACTTTATTATAAACTTCCTGGTAGGTTTTTTTTACATTTAGCACGGCTGGGATTTTCCCCATTAGCAATACTTCTTTTATAACAAATTCTAAAGTATAATGTCCAACATTTCCCAATTTCAGCAACCAGTCAAACGGTCATCAGTATCACATTACAAATACATTTGTGTGTAATTTTACAGTAGTTAATGGATATAATTAATGTATGTTAGGCCTGCAAGAGCTGGAGGCCGAACCCCGGTTTTCTAAGATGGCTATCCTGCCTTGTAGTAACCTTTTTTAATGCACGTTCAAAAAACTTCTTCCAAAAAGTTTATTCAAATGGAGCATTCTTATCTCTTGCATAAGTCTAAAGTACATGCATATCCTTTATATTTCTTGTTCATATCTGCACCCCAATTTCCCTCTCAAAAGCAAACATTTCTAAAATTCTGCAATATCATCTGCAAATCAATTAAGCTACCTATAATCAAGTCTGAAACTCCATGCTGTTTATACATATTTTCCTCAATATCCCCTTACACTTTCTTCCTCTTATTAGTATTGTATGTCTTGCAACTTAATTTCTGTAAAGCTTGTAACCAATACGTTCATATTGTATCGAATTTATTAGCAATTAGCCACCCAAGTCCTCTCAGCAGTCCATCCTCTGGGACGTTCCTCACCCTTCAGTAAGGGTCAGTGATGTCACTGAAGGAGAACTGGGCTGCAGGAAGAACTTTGCCTCAAAATGCGTTGGCAAGTCCTTTTCTGCTCAATCCTTTGTATTTTTTGGCAAGGGGTGGCCAAAAACTATTTTTTATTCACACTTTTTTGGGGGTTGGCGTAAACCTTTAAACACACATACACAAAAACCAAACAAAAAATTAATAATGGATCATAAATCCATAAATCCGTTGGTACATAGTTAGAATAATCAAGTAAGGTAAGATTTTGAGACATGCTCCCATTTAAAACCTTTTGCAACTCCAGAATGCTACTTGTTCCAAATTCTATTGCAGTTGAAAGTACTGCAACACTACATTGTTCCGTAACCACACTATATTTTAACTGTCAGATCATGTCCATATTGCACAATATGACATCACACTGTGCAATACAGGGAAACCATTATTCAGAAAGAGATGAAAAGGCAGGGCTAAACAGCAAGAGTTACATGTATTTTCCAACAATATGAGAAACATTTGCATTTAACTGCTACCTACTCAAACAAACATACATAATCAAGTCAATAAAAAGCTTTGTGTGCATGTTAGAGTTTAAGTTTGCGTTGTGAGATTTCCATTTAACGGCAAATGGGTGATAGCATACCTTATAATATATAAAATGATAGAATGGTTTGGGAGTGTTATTGGAAAAGGATTCCATCAAGGGGTTCTGAAGACAACTTAGAAATCACACGCAAAGCTTGTTCTCATGGTTTAAAAGGACACTAAATGAAAGAAAAAAAAAAAACCATATCCAGGCACACCTGAGGTTTCTTCTAAATGGCAGACTTTATTTAAAGACTTACTTGTTTTAAATAAAGGCTGCATTTTAGAAGAAACCTCCAGTGTGTCTGGATATTTCTTTTTTCAATTTGATGTCTTCAGGGATTGGCCGTCCCTTTCTGGAGCACCCTGCAGGACGTATTCCCCCCCTCTTTAATGTGTGCATTTTACTCTTTTTTTTCCCTTCTTTTTTTTTGCAAATGAAGGGACACTAAAGGCACCCAGGCCACTTCATCTCAATGCGCATGCGCACTTGCCTCTCAATTGTGATGCATTGCATAATATTATAAAGAAGGAGGTGTTGTGACCATGGAATAAGTCAATAAGTAAGCACCCCCAGAGGGGAGGGAGGGAGGAACACAACTAAATAGGTATTGTAACACGATAGCGTTAGGAACACGTTTGTATTACCAATGCCGTAGTGATCCTTTAAGATACATAAATACATAAAGGGAATCAACACAGTAAAGGAGACTATATTTAAAAGAAGAAAAAACTACTACAACAAGAGGACACAGTCTTAAATTAGAGGGACAAAGGTTTAAAAATAATATCAGGAAGTATTACTTTACTGAGAGGGTAGTGGATGCATGGAATAGTCTTCCAGCTAAAGTGGTAGAAGTTAACACAGTAAAGGAGTTTAAGCATGCGTGGGATAGGCATAAGGCTATCCTAACTATAAGATAAGGCCAGGGACTAATGAAAGTATTTAGAAAATTGGGCAGACTAGATGGGCCGAATGGTTCTTATCTGCCGTCACATTCTATGTTTCTATGTAAGATGTCTCCGGACTGTTTGATTGTACCGTATTAGTTACACATGACTGGCGTTCACTCAAATACATCACTACATACACACACCCATATATTTGTTATAACACGATCTGCCAGAAATTTCAACTGCAAATATGACCAATTGTTTATAGCAAATCAAGTGCATTCCACTCTATGGTAAGTACAATAAAACATGGTGTGAATGATACAATGCAGTGAGAGACCCCTGATCATAGGGCAGCAACTATTAGTGGGAGTTACAATCCTAGGCAGGAGCAGCACCATTAATACAATCACTCTCACAATAATAACATTCTGCAAGAATGTTGTTGGGGAGACAGAGATATGTTTCTGTCTCCCCAGCTCTTCTGACATATCACTAACAGAAAAGGCTTAATCAAAGACTGCAGACACAATCTGAGAGTCTGACTTCCGTGCATTTTTGGGCACGTGATTTATGTCCAAATGCTGCCCTAAGAGTAAAAGATTCTAGCCCTAAACCAACCAAACTAATAGAATCTTGTAATATAACATACAGTTTGGGAACCTGTAGTTGGTCTGTTTTGAAAATATCATATTTGCTTAACAAAATCACTAATTGTATTTACTCTAAACAACAGTATGTGTGTGGACTAGAATTTCCAAGTTTTGTAAACAACTTTATTATGCAGGGCTCGAGTCCTGCAGGAACGCATGGGAACGGCGTTCCTGCACTTTTTCCAAAGCAGGAACGCCGTTCCCGTTACCTGTCCTGCAGGACTGGCCCTGCTACCTGCACAGAGGGGCCATCACACGCTGTGTTCTCCCTCCAGCTCTAACTCTCGCGAGACCCGCGGCTGTTACCATGGCAACGCTCCGCACAGGCGAGTCTCGCGAGAGTTAGAGCTGGAGAGGGAGCACAGCGTGTGATGGCTCCTCTGTGCAGCGGCTGGCTCCCTCCAGCATACCACCGGACCACCAGGCGATCTCCCCCCTCCCTGACAAGGTAAGAAGCAGGGAGGGGGGAATAAAATAAAAAAATAGACACATAAAGTTTAAAAAAATGCTCCCCCCCCCACATCATCCAGCACACACACACACCCATCATCCATCACTCACACACACACCCATCATCCATCACTCACACACACACCCATCATCCATCACTCACACACACACCCATCATCCATCACACACACACACACCCATCATCCATCACACACACACAC